TACTTTTAACCTCAGACTGTCACAATAATGGATCAAATGTCAGACTGTTTTTTTATTTCAGTTTTAACCTGACTATACAAGACATAATAGATTTTCCTAACAATCAACATATACCGAACCGAACCGAAAACCGTGACCACGAAACCGTGAACCGAACCGAACCGTGGATTTTGTGAACCGTCCCACCCCTAATATGTATGATAATTTTCTTTTCTATTCTGTTTCTTTTCTATTTTATTCTCTCTGGTAAATTTCCACAATTTTTTAAAGGTATATTCCTCCTTCAAGGTCTAAGAGAAGTCCTCATATTTTGTCTAATTCTTGAGGATTGTTTAATACATGTGCAGAATGAGGGGGAAACTTTACGTCTCATTTGAGGATGGAGGACAGACTTTAGGTCTCATTTTAGGATGGAGGACAGACGTTAGGTCTCATTTTAGGATGAAGGACAGACTTTACGTTTCATTTTAGGATGGAGGGCAGACTTTACTTCTCACTTTAGGATGGAGGGCAGACTTTAGGCCTCATTTTAGGATGGAGGACTGACTTTATGTCTCATTTTAGGATGGAGGGCAGACTTTAGGCCTCATTTTAGGATGGAGGACAGACTTTAAGTCTCATTTCAGACTCAGACTGGTATAAAAGGGCTACGCTGGAATTACTATAGTCAACAGCAAAAAGATCATATCATCCCAGTGTGCTTTTCCTGCATCTGACCGGTTCTCTGGTCCCTGTCTGACTCCTCTCCTCTGTTTTTAGTCTGTTTTGCCCTCAGGAGAACACGGAGGAGGCTCTTCTGCTGCTGCTCATCAGCGAGTCCATGGTGAGGGAGCTCCAGACGTTCGATCGCCCTCAGAAACGCACACGTTTTCGAGACGTTTTCGGGTCAAATATGGACGTTTGTGTGTTTCAGGCCAACCGTGACGCGGTCCTGAGCAGGATCCCCGAACACAACAACGACCGGATCATCAGCCTGCAGTCTGCCTCTGTGGTGTACGACCTGCTGACCATCGCTCTGGGCAGGAGGGGGCAGTACGAGATGCTGTCAGAGGTGAGTGTCCCCCCGGGATTCCCAC